GGTCATTTCATCGGCTATCCTGAAAAATCAATGGGGTACAACTTCTACTGTCCTAACCATAGTATGAAAATAGTTGAGTCTGAAAATGCAAGGTTCATTGAAAATGGTCAGTTTAGTGGGAGTGGTGAAACACAAAAGGTGGAAATTAAAGAGACACGTGCAGAAACTCCTGTAATTAGTGTCTCCTCTCCAGTTGTTGTTCCTCTTGTTGTATCACGGTCACACAACATAAGGAGACAAAAAGTTAGTGTTCCAAACCCACAAGAACAATATATAGAGGATGAACCAGCTAAAAATGCGCAAGTCACAAGTGAGCAAGAGAAAGGTGAACCACAAGAGATAACATTATATAAAGAGGTCTGTAACGCTCCAAATTTTGGTAATATTAATTATTATTATATATATATATATTCATATGTGTGTTGATTTGTTTGATAATGATGTTTATGTGCATTAAGTACATGGATATGTGTATTTATGTGTATGCATGACTGAATAGGGCTGAGATGGGCTAAGTGCCTAAGTGCAGGGCGTGATACTAGGCTGGTCTCGCTATAGCGAGAGGATTCTCACTGTAGCGAAAGGGCCTTGGGAGGAAGGACCAGAACTGTCGCCTTTTTGCTGTAGCGAGAGACGTCTCGCTGTAGCGACAGAGTGACAGTTTGGGGTGCATTTTTTGGTGCAGTCTCGCTGTAGCGAGAGGGTCTCGCTACACCGAGATTGGGCGTGTCGCTGTAGCGAAAGTGTCACGAGCAGAAAAGGATTTAAAGGGGGTTAGGCTTCGAGGAGGGTTATTTCTCCCTCTCCCTTCGAAATCCCTTTGATCGCTCGACTCAGAACACTTTTTCATTGATTATATTGCCTCCAACTCCGTTTGGAAGCTTGATTGAAGGTTAAATCTGTGTGGGGAACGCTTGGAGGTGAGTTTTAATTATTAGTGTTTCCATTTTTCAATCCCGTTCTCTATTTTTGTGGTTTCCTTGTGTTCTCATGGAATTCTTCCATGTGTTTAGGCCGCAATCTGTGTAGGGAGCACGTCTGTGGTCAAATCCGAGTGTGAGTCTTCAATCCGAGGTAAAGGGGGACTCTACCCTATCTCAATGTATTGTAATTCTTGTGTGTTTTGATGATTAATGGAATGTGGCTGAGATAGAAGATAGAAATTGTGTGTTTGATGGAAATTGATATGCAATGTGATGTGTGATAGAATAATTGGACCCCGTGAGGGTGATTGTGTGTGATGGAATGGCATTGATTGGTGAATTAATGATATTGTGAATAAATGTGGGCTGTGTGCCGTGTGTAAGCATGACTATTGCATGCGTGAATGAAATATGTGTAAATGAGCATGTTAGCGCCATTGTAATGTGCTGTGAATGGTTCAGCGATACACTGGGGATGTGGGAGATGAGGACGGTAGAAATACCTTAGGGAAGAGGGAGTAGTGGTGATACCGACTGCGGAACGGGTGCACCACGGGCCACACACTCTCTTCTTGACTAGACTTATGACCACTATCTTTGTTAAGTGACCCGTGACTGTCCACGTTGTATCCGTGAGGCGGGGATAACCGGCGACCATTCATGGTGTAAATCTGTGATCACAGTGCCACAGTGAGTGTGACTGGCATGCATGTGCATGGGTTTATGACTTGTACTTATGGATGTGAAATGCTGCCTATGATTGTATTTGTTAATGTATTTGAAATGTGCTGGAGGTGAGACTTTATGCTGATTGTGTGTTTTTGGATAGTGTAGCGTACTCACCCTTACATTCATTTTTTAGGTAACCAAGATGATCAGCACCAGACTCAGTGAAAGGGGTGGATAGAACTGCTATAGGACTAGGATATAAATTTGAAAATAATGTATTTAAAAAGGGTCCTGTAGTAGTACTTGATGAAGATTGTAACCCCTTTTTCTTATTTTAAATATTTGATAAAACCATGGATTGAGAACTTTATTTGAAATGGAACTTTTATTATCCTAAAATTGCGAAATTATTATTTATTGAATATTGAAAATAAGGTGTTACAAGGTCTATAAGGCAGAAAAGACCTGCTATTTCGAATGACTATGTAGTTTACTCACTTGAGCATGAATGTGACTTGAGTATTGATGAAGATTCAGTCTCATTTTAACAAGCCATGGAATGTTACAATTCTGAAAAGTGGTTGAATGCCATAAAAGAAGAGTTAAAATTAATGAGTCACAACAAGGTACGGGATCTAGTCGAGTTGCCTGAAGGTTCAAAACGAGTTGGTTGTAAGTGGGTCTTTAAGACCAAACATGACTCAAAAGGCAATGTTGAGAGATACAAGGCTAGACTTGTTGCTAAAGGATACACTCAAAAGGATGGCATAGCCTATAAAGAGACCTTTTCTCCAGTTTCAAAGAAGGAATCTTTAAGAATTGTTATGGCTTTGGTGGCTCATTATGACTTAGAGCTTTACCAAATGGATGTAAAGACCGCCTTTCTGAATGGTGACTTGGAAGAGGAAGTTTATATGGATCAACCAGATGGCTTCTTGACCGCAGGTAAAGAAAGTATGGTGTGTAAGTTAAAGAAACCAATATATGGGGTTGAAACAGGCTTCCAGACAATGGTATCTTAAGTTCAATGATACTACAACGTCATATGGTTTTGTAAAAAACACAATTGACTGGTGTATCTATATGAAGGTCAGTGGAAGCAAGTTCATCATTTTAGTCCTATATGTTGATGACATTCTTCTTGCTATTAATGATGTTGGGCTGTTGCATGATATAAAGGAGTTTCTCTCTAAGAACTTTGAGATGAAAGATATAGGTGAGACTTCCTATGTGATTGGAATAGAAATATTCCATAATAGATCACAAGGATTACTGGGATTGTCTCAGAAAGGCTACATCAAAATGGAAAAGTGCTCATCAGGAGTAGTTCCAATTCAAAAGGAGACAAGTTTAGTGAAATGCAATGTCCCAAGAATGAGTTAGAGAAAGCAATGTAATCTATTCCCTATGCATCAGTGGTCGAGAGTTTAATGTATGCTCAGACATGCACTCGGTCTGATATCAGTTTTGCTGTTGAAATGTTAGGCCGATATCAAAGTAATCCTGGAATGGACCATTGGAAGGCTGCAAAGAAAGTCCTTAGGTATTTACAAGGCACCAAGGACTACATGCGTACTTATAGGAGATCTAGTCACTTAGAAGTGGTTAGCTATTCGAATTCAAACTATGCTGGGTGTGTAGACTCAAGGAAATCGACCTTTGGCTACATTTTCTTGTTGGCTGGAGGTGCGATTTCATGGAAGAGCGGAAAAGAGTCCATTATTGCTACGTCTACCATGGAAACAGAATTTGTGACGTGCTTTGAGGCTACTATTCATGCTTTGTGGCTGCGAAACTTCGTCTTAGGGCTTGATATTGTTGATAGTATAGAAAAGCCGCTACGAATGTACTGTGATAATTCTGCAGCCATCTTCTTCTCTAAGAATTATAAGTATTCAAAGGGAGCAAGACATATGGACTTAAAATACTTATCAGTGAAAGAAGAAGTGCGGAAATAGAAAGTGTCTATTGAGCATGTTGGTACTGATTTAATGATAGCGGATTCACTAACGAAGGGATTGCCCCCTAAAATATTTTCTGGCCATGTTGGTAGGATGGACATTATAGACAAGTCCTTATTAGCATGATTGTGTGATTCACATATATGTGTATAGATTGTTTTGCTCATAGTATTGTAGACATTTTGTGAATTCAATAAAAGTATTGTTTCTGCTTGTTTACTTATTATCTGAATTGTGTTAATGTACATGTATGGTTTGAGTTTGATAACAGGTTGAATGTTAAAAACACATCAGAGTTACAGTTTATAGTATGACTGATTAAAATTATTTTGATTTGGGTTGGTTCTGTGATACTTGAAAGGAATCATGTCGTCAAATGACTTGTGACTGCCAAGATCTGATCAACTTAAATCATTAAAAGATGATGACTTGATATTATCAAAGATATGCGCACTTACAGTTCATTGAATCTTCAAGTCGTCACATAGGCCAAGTGAGAGATTATTAGATTATTTTAATAATCTTATTATAGTGGCTTATATAACTTATAGCATGACTCTAATTAATAATTTAATGTGATGGTGGTTAAATATAAAATATAGAGTCATTGAAGGTATAATTGTAAATACAATTATAAGGAAACCCTCCCCTCTCCCTTCATATAAATTAAAGAGTGGTTACCAAATAGGGGTTATGACATTCTCTATTTTTTTTACTTTCACGTTCTCTAAGTGAGCTCAAGGTAAACGTAAGGAAAGAAATTTTCTCTCAACCATTCGAGAGGAGCTAAAAGAAGAAGGAAGAGTTGGGGAAGATACAAAGTACAAAGGGATCAACGACATCAAAGAGAGATGTAACATTAAGGAACAATAGATTCAGGTTAGTATTCTCTAAACCCTTAATTGTATGAAAACCATATATTGTATTGTGAAAACAGCGTAATTCAAGATCACTTAAGGAAAAGATAATTTCATAATGATCATTGCATAATAGAAATTACATAATGAATTAAAGAAAATTCTAACAGAATCCACGGCGTTAAAAAAATACTTGCAAAACATAGCAGGGAAATGATATGGTTAAGAGTGAAAACAAAAGAAATCTCCATTGAATTAACACGATTAATTGAGAGCTAAGGTCGCAAACATGACACACACATATAAGAATTCCGTCACTTCACATGAATTGTCACAAATAGTAATACCATTATGCCAAGATCAAAAGTATAATAATCTGCATATGGGATTGTGTTTGAATCCTTCATTTATTTGAAACACTCAATTCTTTATTTTTCTCAAAGCACAAAGCGGCTAGAAAATTCTGAAACCCAAAATGCAAGAGCTTATAACACAAGCAAGCACCTATCATCATCAATCTTCTATAATACAAAAAAAAAACTTGTATAAAGTAAACCATACTCCATGATTTATAAGCTTTAGTGGAATATTTAAACTTTTTGAGTAGTGGAGGACCCTTGTTGTTCTTTGTTGGCAACAAAGAGAGCATGATATTTGACAAAAAAGAACCCCAAGGTATGGCCAGCCACAGCAGCTACGAAGATTCCCAAATTGAAGGACATGACAGCTAGCATCACCAAGTAAAGGAAACTTATACGGAAGAGGTAAAAGGTTGTTTGAGCCAACCCTCCTATGATGGGGTTGGTCCCATGTTTGATGATGGGTTTGTTGGAGATAACCTCAGCAATCATTGCAAGGAAAAACACCATCAAGATGGCTAAGATGTACATTCCAACACTGTGATTAGGCCACTCAGAGAAGAGTACAATGGCATCTTTGCCCCAATAGAGGCTCATGTGCATCTTTATCTTGCTACTGCTTGTGCCTTCAGACATGGGCATGTCTTGGCCATGAGCCATATTCATCTCTTTCCTGATTGATTGATACACACACCAACAAATACACGGAGAGAGTTATGGGGGCTTGGTGTTTTTTTTTTTTTTCCTTCATTTATCCTATTATATGTAAAGAACAAGATCAATGGTATTGAAGTTATCTGTGTACCAGTATTTTCAATTGAAAAAAACATATTGCCAAAAATTATGCAAAATTGGTCTCTTTTGTTATTTTTCTTCTACTAAAAATTCTTAAATTTTAATCTTCTATCTGAACTGGGGGTGTAATGCAATTAAAATTTAAAATAATTTTACAAAATAAAAAATTAGTAAACTTTGAAAAATTTTAAAAATTTATTAAATGCGAAATTAAAGTTTGAATATTTTTTTTTTATTTTGAGTAAAATTTGATATTTCGATTAGTTAATTTTGAACAGAAAAATTTAATCAATTTAATATCTAAAAACTTTGAATAAAAATAAAAATTTTAAATTTTTTTTTTGGATGAGAAATTCTTTTTATTCTTTTCAATGACTTATTCGCATCATCTAACACGCAGGGGCAGGTATTGTTGCCCCCTGCCAATTGTAGTCCCACGTGGCCAATAATGCGTGCCTTTACGCAGCCGATTAAGCCGTCCTAAATAAATGAATAATTTATTTTATTTTATTAAATATTATACGTTAATAGTTTTAAAATTTATTTGAATATAGGATAAAACAAAATAAAATATCAATGTATATTTTAGGACCATATTATTCATTTAATATTTTTATACTTTTTTAATTAAATAAGTGGCTAAATAATATTAATCTTTTCATATTTAAATTTTTGCATATTCTTTTTATTGCCAAATAACTTATTTTAAGTTGTTTAATATATGCATATTACTAATAGTGAGTGTGGAATATTTAAATAAGATTAATTCAAACTAATAATTTTAAAATTAGACCAATTATTAAATCAATGAAAGCAGTGATTTACAGTTCATTAGTTCATTTGTGGTTGAAACAAAGTTAAATTAGTAATAATAAAATAAATTTTAATATTATATAATATATTAGGTAATAAATTAATATAAAGTTATAAAAATGTAAGTTAATTGAAATTTTAAATTAACATAAAATAATCATATTATATATTTATAAGATAAAAATTATAATAAATATACATAGAATTATCATCTATGAGCCTTAGATTCTTAAAAAAAAAAATTAAAAATGTTTTAAAAAAATGTTATCCACTGACCAATTTACCTAACTAATTATCTGACCAATTTTAAGTTAATCGGTTGAACTAATTGATTCAGTTTGGTTTTAATAACTACGATTGAAACTCTCCTCTAAATATGTGTACTTGAAAATCATATACTAGATTTTTAATACTTGATAATAGATATACTACTCCCATTTAATAATACAAATTTCATACTTTGCCCTCAAATAAATATTAATTATTTAGTATTATAAGGTTAATGAGATTGACATTTATAATTTTTAAATATTTACATAAATTATAACATTAGACTAACCTGTTTTGTCCTTAATTTTTGAGTAAATTATTTTTTATTTTGGTTATTAGAGGTTTAAATTACACTTTTTTCTTATGTTGTAAAATATAGTCTCTTTTCTTAAGAAATGAATATGAGTTACACTTTAGTCAATAAATAAAATATCTTAATAATGTTTTATTCATTATTTTAGTATTTTAAAACATATAATAAAATTTTAAATACTTCAAAAAGGTCACAAAATTGATAGGAAATGTTTAAAATTAACTATTAATAATGTCAAAAGAATCACCATGCATGATTAAAAGAAAATATCTCTAGAAAGTACATTTGTATTAAAATAGATTCAAATATAACAAATATTCAATTTTCATAGAGAAAATGTACATTTTAAAGTAACATATGAAGAGATTATAATACGCACATCTATTAGAATACATTAAATTTATGATTACATTTTAATGAACATGGGTTCTAATATCTTCTCAATATTAACAAACTGAGCTAAAAAAGTCTTTATTTCTCAATTACCAAAAAGGAAAAGAAATAATGTCCCTAAACTTAATATTTCATTAATTTTAGGTTTATAAAAAAAATTAGCAGTTCACATTCAAGAAAGAGGTAATAAGTCATGATTTAAATAAAACAAGTTACTTTGATAAAATCAAATTAATTCTTGACTCAAGAATTAAAAAAGAAAATTCTACTAGGGTTTCGTTCAAGAGCTCTAAGAAAGTTTTCTCTCTTCTTGAAGAAAGGAGAGAAAGGACTAGACACTAGGGTTCACGCCCTAGTCAGTCTAAGGAAATGCTCGTACGCGAGTTTTGGGGCACAACAAGGAATCATAGTCAACTATGAAGATCTAGATTTAAGTCTCTGGTTTTAACGACGGTGTGCAAAGGATGGAGAAGCATTCCACAGAAAAGTTAGATCTAGTAGCTCGGAGTAAAAAGAAGGTAAAAATGGGAATAAAGGAACCCATGGAAAAGTGCAAGGATGCCATGCAAGAGAATCATCACTCTGGAGATCAGATGTCAGTCCAGGTGTATTCGTATCCTATTTCTACTGAATCTTTTTCTTATAAAGATAAGGTTTGAGAATCAAAGGATTTAGATCTAGTTTTTAATGACGAAGAAATCATAAAATCTGTCCTAAAAGATTTCAATATTCATCTTGAGAATAAAGACATTACTAAAATAAACTTAGATAACAAGAAACAGTGTCCAGAACTTAAAATTCCTCTTGAAGATTATGAGGGCTGGTGTGCTCCTCTGAAGTAAACCCTCATAGTTAAGTTGTTAAGGAAATCAGTGAGCTTCAATAACCTGAACCAAAGACTTAACAACCTTTGGGGGAAAAATGGATCACTAAAAATACTATATCTTGATAACCATTTTTTTTAGTCAAATTTGAGAGCATAGAAGACTATAAACATGCTCTCTTTGAAGGTCCATGATTGATACTGTAACGCTCCAAATTTTGTAATATTGATTATTATATATATATATATATATATATATATATATTTATGAATGGATGTTAGAATCTGCACTTGAGTGCGTGATGAGTTTGATGTGATAATAATGAATATTGAATAGTGATGAGAATATATGTGTATGTTTGTATAATGTGATGTGGATGTTGTTTTTTCATTGAGATTGATTTTCTGGATTGTTTGAAATAGGCTAAGTATATGGTGCAGGGTATTCTCGCTGTAACGAGAGATATCTCGCTATAGTGAGAGGGCCCTGGGAGGAAGGTGTGAAACTGTCGCCTTCTCGCTGTAGCGAGAGGTCCTTCGCTACAGCGAGAGAGCAACAGTGAGGGGTGCATTTATGGGTGTAGTCTCACTGTAGCGAGATTCTGCAAAAACCAGGAAGCAGTTTCCTCTGAGATTTTCGCTGTAGCGACAAAGGGCACTGCTACAGCAAGCCTTTCGCTGTAGCGAGAGTGTTGCGACTAGAGGAGTATTTGAAGGGGTTAGGATTTGAAATTTTCATTTTCCATTCCTCTCTTCAAAATCTGTTCAATTTTCTCGACCCAAAACCTTATTTGACCAATTAAATTGCCTCCAAAGCCGTTCGGGAGTTAGATTAAAGGTTGAAATAGTGTTTGGAATGCTTGGATGTAAGTTTTAATGGTTATGGTTTCGGTTTCTTATTTCATTCTCTATTTTCTCAGTTTCCCTTGGTTCTCATGGGATTCTTCCATGTATTTAGGACGGAATTCGTGTGGGGAGCACTTCCTTAGTTGATTTCGTGCATAGGTCTTCAATATGAGGTAAGGAGGACTCTACCCTATCCCATTATGTTTGAATGCCATGTAATTTGCTATACATTTTCATATGGATGGTTTGGAATATGTGCGTTTGAGATTGATTGATCGATTGTAGTGAAATTGTGGTGGAAAGATCGTGTGGAACTTAGTACTATCGATATTGAGAAATATTGGGTAGGATGAAATGAATGGTTGTAGGGATATTATGATAAAAACTGTATGATTGAACTTTGTATGATGGAATATGGACATATGTGTCGTGTGCTATGAATGAAGTGGGCCTGTGTGTCGTGTGCTGTGAAATAATGTAGGCCTGTGTGCCGTGTACGAATATGAATACTGTTTGTGGCTGAAATATGTGTGAAATGGCATGTTAAATGTGGTTGTGAATATGTTATGAATGGTTCAGTGATACACTGAAGGTGTGAAAGATGGGACGGTAGAAATACCTTGGAGAAGAGAAAGTGATGGTGACACCAACAGTGAGCGTGGGTACACCACAGGCCGCACACTTTCCTCTTGACTAAACCATTGACTAATACCTTTGCCGAGCGACTCATGACCGCACATGTTGTATCTGTGAGGCGGAAGTAACCGGCGACCATCCATGGTATGAAACTATGATCACAGTGCCACAGTGAGCGTGGCTACGTGCAGTGAGCGCACGTATGTGTAAAATATTGTTGGTGCATTGAGTGCATCGGTTGTGAATTGAAATGGAATGTGTGAAAAGTGTTATTTGTGATTGATTATACTTGGGTAGAATATGTTAGAAATTATGTGAAGTATGTGAGGTGAGTCTCTATGTTTGTGTGTGTTAGATAGTGTAGAGTACTTACCCTTACATTTGTTTTTTAGGTAATCAAGACGATTAGCACCGCGCTTAATGAAGGAATGGATGATACTGCTATAGGGCTTAGATTTTATTTTAAACATATGATGTATTTGAATTAGTCTTGTATGAGTTACTTGATCAAAATTTGTAAACTTTTATTATTTTGAAATACTTTACCAAAACTATGTGTTGGAAAAGTCTATTTAAAATAAAAATTTTATTATTTCCATTTTGTGAAATTTATTATTTTGAAATTAAATTTAAAGTGTTACAGATACTTGACCATTATTTTCGTGTTCAGCGGTGGAGACCCTTGTTTAGGACTAAGGACTTTAATCTTAAAAAAAATGTCTGTGTAGGTTTGCATTCTTGATTTACCTTTAGAATTATATAATAATAAGTTTTTTT